GGGGGGGGGGGGGGGGGGTGAATTAGTGCAATGAAAAACTTTCATTATTTCAAAAAACTTGTTCCGATTAAAACTTATTCCGACGAGAATGGTTTCAATTCAATCTATTTCGGAAAGACTTTGAACTTGAAAGCTTTTATGAAAGTGCAAGAGAAGACTAAGGTGGTTTATAGTAATGTAAATTGCACAAATGAAAAGTGTTGATTTTGTAAAGTCTTCGTACCATTAAAGCCAATCTTGGAAGGCGTTTACTTGAAAGCGTATATAAACGTAGTTAAAGCACAATAAGGAGGAGAGGTAGTTTGCTATAAAAGAAAGTTGCTCAAAGTAAATGCAAACCGAATTTTAGAGTGGTTCGGTCAATGTGACCTACATCCACTTTTGGATTCCTCCTTCGACGAGGTCACTGGCGTCCACTAAAGGTCTTCCTTCAATAGGCAAAGGCTAACCACCTTTTATAGCTTTTCTCCTTTTGTCGGGTTTAGGAGACAACCCTTATAAGTTTCACTCTTCTCTTGAATGATCTCAACACTTAGAAAGGGAGGAGGAGAACTCTAACACTTTTATAACTCTTTAACACTTTAAAGATTCAAGAATATATCAAGATTTCGTTGCCCTTTCATGCAGAAAAGGGTAGGGTATTTATAGACCCTAATGACTTTAAAAAATGAAGCCAAGAAGTGTCTCATCCCAGATTTTTGGGTACTGGCGGTACCACTGCCATTACTGGGCGGTGCTATCGCCTGACATCTGATACTGGGCGGTACTACCCCTCAGTCTGGGCAGTACTACCGCTCAGTCTGGGCGGTACCACTGCTTGACAAAGCTCGGAGACCGAGCTCTGGTGGTACTACTGCCTGACAAGGGCGGTACCACCGTTGGCAGCAATAACTGCTAGTGGTGCTACCGCCCGATAGGGGTGGTACCACCGCCCAGAATTCCTGGGAGACCGAGTCTCTTAGGCGGTGCCACCGCCGGCCCTAGTGGTGCCACTGCCGGCCAGGAATTCAAGGTCTTGTTTGGGCCTTGAATCCGGCCTAAACCAGCCCGACTTAGGGCCTAGTTGGCTCCTAATTAAGTTAGTGAAATTACTTCCCAATCCTAACTTAATTTATGCTCTAACTACGATAATTAAGACATGATTACTACACTTCATATTGTGGTGCGTCAATTGCTCTTCCGGTGAGCTTCTGGTGTACTTCCAGTGAACATCCGACGAACTCTCGGCAATGCTCCGGCGAACTCCCGACAAGCTCCTGGACTTTACGACGATTTTCTTGGCGAGTTCCGGCAAGCTTCTATGGCAAGCTCCTGAACTTCTCGGTTGGTTCCCGCAGAATTTTCGACGAACATCCAGACTTCCGTCGAACTCTCAAACACCCAATTAGATCTCGATCTTGACTTCGGCAACACCTGCTTTATGTCTTATTGCTATCATAGTTAATCCTGCATATTTTTCTCAACATATATATTAAATCAAACAAATTACAATTGACTTCATCATCAAAATCCGAGATTCAACACTTACAACACTTTGTCCTTTTTACGGGTTTAGGAGACAACTCTTACAAGCCTCACACTTCTCTTAGATTGATCACAAAACTAAAGAATGAGGGGGAGGACACCTAGCACTTTTTTAACACTTCCACAACCCAATATCACAAGACTTTTTTTTCACACTTTCATGATCTTTCATGCAAGAAAGAGTGGGGAATTTATAGGCTCCAATGACTTCAGAAATGAAGCCAAAAAATGTCTCATCTCGGGTTTCTAGGGTATTGACGGTACCACCACCTGCAAACTAATATTGGACGGTACCATTACCCAATCTGTGTGGTACTATCGCCTGACAAAGCCTCGGAGATCGGGCTCTGACGGTACCACCGAACTAAGTTGTCCTGCACGTCAATGGTTCAACCAAACTCTCGGTGAACTTCCGACGAACTCCCCACAATCTTCTGAGGAGCTTTCAATGAACTTATGGCGAACTTTTGGTGAGCTTTCATTGCATCGACGATCCTTTGGTGTATCCCCCGATTCATCCGGCTTGATGCCCAATTATTGATTCCGGCTTAACTTTGATTCTATTTTAATCATTTCGTCTTTCGTAATTAATCCTATATCACTTATCTCAACACATGGATTAGATAATTAATTCACTAATTGATTTCATCATCAAAATCTGGATTCAACATGAACTTGACTCGTTACCAAAATCGCTTAAAACCAATCTGACTATAGTTCTAAAATTGATAAAATTAGAATCATTTGAAATTGGTTCAACTTTGATTCCAGGCCTGATTTATCGGTTTCAAGAACCAGTGTTAGGTGCGGCTTAAGCGACGTAAGGATTAATTAAAAAACAACTAAAGAAAAATAATTAGGAAAGAGAAGTAAAACGTATGCCAAAAATATTCTTCAACTCTTGAATTGGTATTCAAAAAAAACTCTTGAATTGATATTCTAATTATATTTTTTATTTTTATGATACATATGCCGAGTCTCTGATTAATTTTATTTTTTAAAAGACTAATCTTTCCATTTAAATATTTGAAAATTTTCATTTCTTGACTCCTTACACTACATCTAGAGGATCACTAGCATGTCTCATCGAAGATCGATCATCTACTCTCTCCCTTCTTGTAGAGTCTTTTAAACCCAGCGTTGCAAGTTACAGGAATTTTGTGGTCATCGACAACATCGAAGAAAAATATTCGGAAGAGGAAGATAGCAAGGTGTTTGCCGAGGAACTTGTGATCCGTAATTTTCCTCTTTTTTTTTCTTTTTCTGTAATGACATAGATCTAGCTGGGACCCACGCCGCCTCTGTTGGCAGTCTCAGTGCTGAACGCATCCAACAACTCCATCGACGAGCAGATAAGTGTTTCTTCCCTTCCTTTTTCCCTTCTCCGGTTCCCTCTCCTCTCCTCTCTTTTCGAGCCCACCTCAATTCTCCTCCCTCCTCCCCCTCGCTCCCTCTCTTTTGCCTTGTTCTCGCCGAATCCGATGGTGGTCTGTAGTCCCTGTCACTATCCCGTTTCTGCACGTCGTCCCCCCCACCTCCCTCTCCTATTCAAACCCATCCTACTAAATATCTTCCACCGGCCTCCCTTCTCCAAACGCCGAGCTGCTCCCCAACCCATCAATGCAATCGGAGACCAATCTTCCTCTTTCTCAGGCACTCCGCAGCAGCAGCACCAACAGAGGCAGAAGCAGGTGAGGACCCTATTTCCTGGTGGCTTCAAGCGGCCGGAGTTAAATATCCCCACCTTGGTGCTCCGGTTGAGCGTTGATGAGGTGCTCGAAAGGGAGGCCGACGTCGACGTTGCGTTGTTAAAACGGGTCGGAGTGGTGGTGCTCGACGGCGGCGACCAGAGCGGTGCCAGGCTTTACGAGGCGGCCTGTGCCTTGAAATCGCTTCTCCGTGACAGGGCTTATCTTCTGATTGCAGAGCGTGTTGACATTGCTGCTGCTGTCGGGGCCAGCGGAGTGGTTCTGTCAGATTCGGGTAAGTATCAATATGTGGTCTTTTGATCTTCCTGTACATGTGATGCTAGTTTAGCTCGTATCGCTCTTCTATATTTACAATTTTTTTTGGTTCTCTCATATTCTGTAATTTTCAATTGTCACCGTCATAGTTCGATGCTAGCTTCCATTGAACTATGATCATGAAGGATTTAGGATAACTTATCTGTTGTCAACTGTGGCATAAATATGCTTGTGTAGCATATTATGTTTACAAAGGACAAAAAAAAAGAAGAAGAGAGTTTTTCTTTTGTAATTAAGAGAATCTATTTCCAGATCCTAGGTGAAAAAGACAAAAACTCATATACGGGTGTCAGCCTGGAGTCCTGAACCTCACCATTCGGTATGCTATCAGTGCAAATCCCAGGAAACTGTAGACAAATTCCTTACTAAAATAGAGGACATTGGAATATTCCACATCTCAGCCATTAATTACTTTCTTGAGCATAAGCTACTTTGCATTCCTCTGCAATATTTAGCTTTACAGTCTCACTTATACGACTTGGCAAACTCTTCTTTTGCAATCTGTCTGAATTACTTGTAGTTTCTTCGTAATTACTTTAAGCAGTATGAATATTGAGCTATATTGAATCATCTAGAACCTTTGAAAAGATAAAAACCTTTTAGTCCAATTCTTTGTCATTGTAACAATCCTGTCTTGTGGTCAATAATTTCTTTTGATCTTGTGGTTACTAAAAGTATGCCTAGACATACTGTCAGTCTTCGCCACCTGTATTGAAGATCAGCCAGGACCAAGATCTTTTTAATGTCCTTGATTCTGAGCAAAATATACAGTGCTGTTGTCTTTTATCTATTTCTGGACTTGATGCATTTGAGACGTCAGTAATTGTTGTCTGCATAATACTTGATGATTCAAAATCATCCCTACTGAGCAAGAGGTCATATGAAACATTAGATGTTGAAACATCAATTTGTTGCATAATGGATGCGATGTGATGTCATTTGGCTTTGTGATCTTTGCTAATCTTCAAGAAAGAAACTCCATTGTTACGACATATAAAAAAGGTGATGTAGCAACACCTTGTCTTAACCCTTTTCTCAGAAAATAACCAAGGTTTTTAATACCGTTCCGTACCACCCGGTACGGGCAGTACGTACCGGTCCACCAGTGGACCGGCACGTGGACCGCCCACCACTGGGTGGTATCAGCCTGGCTACGATGAGGCGAGGCGAGGAAGAAGAGGGCATTTGAAGAAGAGGGAGAAGCATCGAGAAAGAGGGAGAAGTGTCGAGAAAGAGTACCGTGGAATCACCGATATGCCGTCACCAGCGTCTCGATGAACCTGAGCCCGTCGAACCTCGGCTTGAACTTGTCTTCCACGCCCTTTCTTGATCCCAATCCGGTTCTGCTCTCCCTCGACAATCCCGATCCAGGAGGTAACGACGAGAAGAGTCGTACCTCTTTGGAGGGGAGCTGGAGGCGCGGGGATCAGGGGAGGCAGCGGTGAGAGCAATGGAAGAGGCGGTCGTGAGGAAGGTGGCGAAGACCCCGACCTTCTTCATCTTCGAACAGTCTCCTTCATCCACTACCGTTGCACGAAGAATCTTCTGATGTCGTCTTTCTTCTCCCTTCCTCCTTGACGTCGAAGGCCGCAGACGAGATGACGACGACGAGGCGATTGCTCAGTACGCCATATCTTCTTTATATCTTTTATATCTTTATATATTGAACTTTTATTTATATATATATATTTTATATAAAAAGATATATATTTTATATCTTTTTATATATTAATTATATATATTTTTATTTTTTTATATTTAATACCGCTCGGTACTAAAATTGATTTTTATATATTTTTCTAGGCGTACCACTCGGTACGCTGTATTGTTCTATACCGAGTAATGATTGGTACATCGGTATGGTTCAAAATTTCAATCCTTGAAAATATCCCAACTGTAGAGTTATTTATCATCACAAACTCCGTTGTTATTTGGGAACATAAACATTTATAACACTTACTATACATTCTCATAATGTAAAATTTAACGAATAAAATTTGCTTACCAATTCTTCATCTCTTTAATATTTTCCTTAAAATCCTTTTCTATTGTAAAATTTACACCATTGCCATGTTTTAACGTTTCCTATATATTACATTATATTTCTAAACTTTATTTTTACAAATTCCAACTCCTCTAGATGCTTTCTTATACTCTATGTTGTTAGCTTGACTTTGAACTTGGGCTGACTTCTTTACTTGGATTAACTGAAAACAATTTCATACTCCTTGTATGTTTTATGCCACATCCTATGCCAATATGATGGGTCCTTTTGGGCAACTTGTTACTCCATCTTCACAGCTTCGGTAGCTAGGTGGTAAAAATGTTTTGCATCACTTCCAAATGGTGACTTAGCCATATAACGAAATTAGTTAAGGTACATGTTTATATTTGGTGTCAGATTCCTAATGCCACAAACCTTCAGTTGGTTTGGGACTAGGAATTAAAATGATATAGCAGTAAGCTCACACAAATGTTGTTAGGCTATAACACACACCATGGTTCTATATTTTTCTTGGACTGGTATGTACTGGTTAGATGGCTGGTCGGGTCAGCGGCACAGACTGTGGCATGTTTCTCAACACCATATATACTCAAATCTTCAGAGAAGTCTCGTGACACATGCTGATGTACCATGTGTCATTGTGTCAAGATGTATCAGATCTGTACTACTACTGCCGGGGACCGGCATAGGTTTGCTACTAGAAATGTCAAACCATTACTTAAACAATTATGACAATTCAACATAAGTTCAGAAAAGTAGGCAAAGTAGAAGTAACATAACAACTCGGCCCAAAACAAATAAACCTAGTCTGAGTTTTGGTTGTAACTTTCATAAAATCAAGGATTGAAATTTCGTACCGAACCGGAGTTTCGAGCTTTGCTCGGTACGATACGATATGGTGTACCGAGCAGTACGTCTAATTTAGGCGTAAAATCCTCCGAAAATACTTAAAAAATAGAAAAAAAAGTTAGGATAGGGTTTTTAAGTTAGAAATAAATATAGTAATAGTATAAGTTTAGCAAAATCAATATAAATTAGGTAAGAATAGTGTCACATATCGTTTTCGGGTTTTAAGGAATAGCCTTGTGCAAGGTTCGTATTTCGGTCCGTTACAGATTTTCCTTTTGTAAATATTGAAATATCTACAGAAAAATCATTTGAATTGTTAGATTATTTTGTTACAATATAAATTTTAAAATTCAAATGAATTAAATAATCACGTATGTAGATATACCTGGTTGCTGATTCTATCACAAAAACGAATGACGAGCCTCCACGAGTGGTGGATCGGGGTCCTCGATCCTATGCATCTGCATATTAGTATGATATATTTGTTGGACCTAATCCTGAAATTGATCCCACGAAATAGTTTATTTATACAACGTATGCCATTGGTGCATCAATGTAATGATGATTGTAGGTTAATCGTCATGAATCACATTTGTCCGAGGCGGCTCCTAAGGCATGTATTAATGAATGTTAGAGCTTCTACTTTCGTTACGGATCTAGTGCTTCATATCATACTGTTGCTCAGAGAAGTATGACCAACTATCACCGTACTACTTTTAGCCATATGATTCTTCATAATACGACAACTGTGAATACGATGAGCTTCGTTTTGTGTCTACATTATGTAGGCTTTATCGCATCTGCTCAAATTCATCCGCTGCCTTCCCCTTCCCCTTCCGCGCATAAACTTGATCAGTATCTTATCGAGTTCCATAATCTGAATCTTGGGTGGCATGTGTAAAATATTGCTCCGCGGTCTATGCACCACCCTCAAGTTGTATAGACGAGACCAACGACTGCCCGACATCGCTGCCATCATCCGTTGAGGCATTGCTGTCCGTGTTGCTGTTATGTCTCTGGACCAAGCAAGTTGCTGAATGCGATTATGAAGGTGTCTCGTCGCTTGACTCAATTCTTTCCAACGATGCGACTAATGCTACTGCCTTCCCCTTTGCCTTTGCACGCTGGGCGGACAACTATGACCGTTGGATGTTTGTAGTTCCTCGAGTAGTTTGACTCCTGCCATGTTGTGATCGAGGGGGATTTTCCACCTGCTGGGGTTGTGCTTCCTTTTCTTCTATTGCCTTGGTGATAAAACGCGAAGGACGTTGAGGATCTCCCACCTCATCAAGTAGAGGATCCTCTTGGTTCTCTGCCGCTTCGACCCACTCTAACATCGGCTCTGAATCTTCTTTATAGAATTGGAGGTTGATGGGATCAATATTTGGTTCCTCTAGATACTTCCTCTGGCTCCTTATCCTGCTCAGCACATTGCAACCTTAGCCGTATGTTATAATGGACATATACTAGTTTCTCTAACCGTCTATACGAGAGTTTGTTGTGGACCTTCGTGTGAATCAATGCAAACGTTAACTAATTATGTTCGTAACCACTATATGTTGTCGTTTGTAAAAGTACATGAACGGCAACCTTCCTTAAATGTGGTGCATCCCTTCCAAATTATAGTCACAACTCAACTGCAAAAATATATAAATAAGATTTTATTATCATAACAAATAATTAACATTAAATATAATTGATAATCAATATGTGTAACTTTTTCTCACCAGGATCTATAGTGTAACGACACGATACAACTACAACATTGGAGAATGAACTAATTGTTTCTCGGAATAATCGACCATCCATAAGAGCATCGGCTGCAACAATACTGTTTGGCAAGAGTCGATATATAACATTTCGTAGTGCCATTTGTAGATCATTTTGCGTTCCGAGAGTATACCGATATTGAATTGCCGGGTTTAGATAATACGCTACAAGACATAATTTTGTTAGTTTGATTTTTTATTGTATAAAAAATAATAAATTAAATTATTCTGGATATGAATTTACCTATATTATGGATATCTTGATCCATATGAACTTCAGTCTGACGATCAATGATCCGTACGTATTGGTCGGCCTTAAAATCATCTTTGAATGTT